CAGCAGCAGCAGCAACAACAACAACTAAACACGAGAACTGCCATTGTTGTTTATCCAGCCCTGTAATCCTTGCATAACTGAACATCTTATTCTGCACCAAGCACCACCGAAGCTAATTAAACTGCCATAACATCCTTTTGCACGCTTGTCTTTAAATAGTTGCAAACTCCAGAGTTTGGGGTTTTTACATCATGCCCAACTTCCCCCTCTGCACTCCCTGCCTGCCTCTTTACCTGTTTTTCTTAACATCTAGCCCAGAGAAGGGTAAGTTTGGTCCTCCTAACAGAGGGTCCATGTTGTGCTAGGCCCTGAAACTCTTTCCTAACTGGCTTGTGGGTGGGGCTTGCCCTGCTCCAAGCTGGTGGTGCCACAGTTATGCCAATGGCCTTTAGCCAATCAGCAGCGTGGCAAGGTTGGGGGTATTTACTTGGCAGTGCGACCTCCTTTTGCTTTGCGCTGCCGAACACCCGCCCACCCACCTGTTAATTAGGTCGTGTTTGGCCTTGCTTTGGAGTTCGGTTGGTCGCCTGTTTTTGAATGGCGGCCAGGTAGGAATTTTTTCCAATGTGGCAGATTGGCTGTGGCCACTTGGTTTTTGCCTACCTCTTAGCAATCGACACAACTTTGCAAGGTTTGGCGGTTAGGCATTGGTTTAGGGGAATGTGGGGAGGTGTGGTGCGGCCATCACCTGCCCCTCCAATGAATAGGGTATTCCATTAAAGGAATCCGGGGGTCTGGATCTTGTCTGAAGCCCAGAGAGGGGCTAGGGCCATGCCAGGACCCCCAGGAACCCCAGGGGTGAGCACCAGTCAATATACACTGACGGAGATCCCCCTGCTGGTTATTTACCCTTCCAGGCTTCCTGCAGGGTGGGGCAGGAGCCAGCTATAGTTTGATACCAATGTCTAAGCCAATACCAGTCACATCTGTGTATTTTAATAAAGTTGTGGCCAAAAATTGCCCATTAACATTTAAACTAAATTCTGTCTCCACTGTGTCTTTATTTCCATGGGGGGTGGGTTTTGGGGCCTGAAGCACAATGCAAAAGCTTGCTCACTATTTTGTGCCGTTTTAGTTGGTACAAAAAGCAAGGTCTTATTTTGGATTCTGCCAGCCGCCATTGGAGCAATGCTGTGGATTAATATTGGTTATACTGAGACCTCTGGTTTGGTTGCATCCAGTGTGGGATGGAGAGATAGAAAGAGTGTCGGGCAAGAAGAGGCTAAAAAAAAAAAGGTCCCCTCTCTGAACCACCTTTTCTCTTCTTCTTTCTTTTGCAGGCCAAGATCTACGTTCTGTCTCTACAATGGAATAACGATGGGCATTTTGAAGAATGAAAAATGGCAAGCGTTTTCTCTGCCTCCCTCGGTGCAGCGTGCAAAGTCTCAGAAAAGGCCACTGCTGCTTCAGCAGCGGATGGGTGGGAATGGCTGGTAGACAGGCATTGTTCTGCATGCTCCCCCTGACAACACACAGGCCCCAAGGTGGGTTTACCCCTTTCAATTCCCTACACAAGGAATAATCACATTTTATCCAGTGCTAAAATATCGCTGTATTGAGCACTGGGGAAAGAACTGCTGTTTGAGCCAAAAACGGAAAATTATTACATTTTTATCCCACCCTTTACCTTATTTTGGATTCTGCCAGCCGCCATTGGAGCAAGGCTGTGGATTAATATTGGCTATACTGAGACCTGTGATATCCAAGCATACTTCGTTCTTTTCAGTGCTTTTTCTCCAAGAAAAATAGGTGCTGGAACTTACCATGAAGCTCTTACAGTAAGTCGCCAGGCGACTTGAGGCAGCTCTGAAAAGATGCTGGTTTGACAACAGCTGCATTCAAGGCCCGCAGAGGGGCTAAAAATTATGGCAAGCTGCCTCCCTGGCTGGTTTGGGGGCTGCCCCTGGTTCTGGTGCAGGTCAAATAAATGTACCCCCCTCCCTCGTTCTGTTAGATTCAGATGGCAGATGGGTAGGGCAGCTTGGAAGGGCCCTCGTGCAAATATGCACAAGTGCAATGGTAGCGGCCTGGTTGGAAAGCCAAAAGCCCATCGCTGCTTCTCTGGGAAAAACTTTGGAACAGCGACCTAAAATTCACAGCATGTTATTCTTTGAAGGAGAACTACCAGAAAATGATTTATAGATGGTCTTTAATTCCGAACAGACTGGCTAAAATGTATAAGTCCGAATCAGATAAGTGCTGGAGATGTAATGAGGTTGAGGGTACATTTTATCATATGTGGTGGACTTGTAAAAGGGTATTGGGAAATGATATATAATGAATTGAAAAAAATGTTTAAAAGTACCTTTCAAAAAACAAAATAATACCAGAGTCCTTTTTGTTGGGGATAATTCAGAGGGAAATTCCCAGGTGTCAAAAAATACTATTTATGTTTTTTTTAAAAAAAATGGTATTTATTAAAAGTTTAAGATTACAGAAAAAAGTAAGAAAAAGAAAAAGACTATTTATGTATGCTACTACAGCAGCCTGTGTTTCGTTAGCCCCCAAATGGAAAACGAGTGAGGTCCCAACCGAAGAAGAATGACAACTTAAACTCATGGAATATGTGCAGCTTGCAGATTTAACATGTAGAATAAGAGAACAAGAAGAATGTACATTTAAAGAAGACTGGAAAATGTTTACTGAATATATGAGTGAAAATTGTGTTCATTTAAAAATGCTGGTAGCATTAAGATAAATTCAACAGTGTAACTAAGTTTTGATGGATGTAACAATGGATTCCTGAGTGGTTTAGTTCATGTAAAATATGCAGGGATGTATGGTATGCAAAATGAACCATGGAAAGAGAAGAAGGGAAGTCATTGATATTTTAAGGTGGTTTAAACAAATATTTTGAAATGCAAATTAGAAAATTTAATAATATCTTCCGTATTTTTTGCTCTATAAGATGCATTCTTCCCCTCCTAAAAAGTAAGGGGAAATGTGTGTGCGCCTTATGGAGCAAATGCAGGCCGCGCAGCTATCCTAGAAGTCAGAACAGCGATCGTGCAGCGATCCCTCTTGCTGTTCTACCTTCTGGGATAGCCGGGCAAAGCTTCTTCAGGGCAGGGGTAGGAACGCTCCCCCTGCCCTGAAGAGGCTTTGCATTGCTTTCGCTGAAGCCAGAACAGCAAGAGGGATTGCTGCGCAGAGATCCCTCTTGCTGTTCTGGTTTCTGGGATTCAGAATATTGTTTTTCTTGTTTTCCTCCTCCAAAAATTAGGTGTGTCTTATGGTCTGATGCGTCTTTTAGAGCAAAAAATACGGTATATATCTATATATCCCATCACTATATATATATATAGCCTGTAGCTTGACCAATCACAGCTAGGATCTAGGTGGAGTCATAGATCTAAAAAAAAGTGTGGACTTGCACACGCTGGCTGTCTTCCATTTTGACTTGAAATGTTCATTTTGGGTTTTTCAGAAGAATGTAAAGGAAAGAAACGGGTGGTGGTGGGGCGCCAGCCCTCAATGGTGCCCACATGAGAGGTGCCAGAACTGCACTCCGGTGTGCTCTGGCTGAAGGAAAACACTGGTTCTTCCTCCTCCCTCGTTTTATTCTCACAACAATCCTGTTGTCAGGAAAAAGCAGCAATGCAAAAGCAAGCTGCAGATGTCTGGAATGCAAAACAGGATGTTGATGTGTGGGACTGTACTATTGGAAAAAAGGGGCAGTCTATTCAGTGTACTGAGCACCGGATGTTAGCTCAGAGTGTCATCTGACCTGTACTGGAAGTACAGGGGAGGAGTTGAGTCTCTACTGCTGGAGACTGGAGAGTGCAGACACGTTTCTCTGTACTGCTGGAATGACAGAAATAAAGAGATGTAAATAGATTTCTGTCTGTCTCTTTTCCCCTCCCTGAGGGTAGCAGGGAGGAGGGAGGAGGGTGTGTCCCTCTCACGCTGAGTGGGATCGCCAATTTGTGACCTTGCCTGTATCCTGCCGGGAGACGCAGACGGGAAGGTCAATAAGGATCTCAAGCCGAATGCCTGGAGTGAGGCCAGTTACCTCTGACTGCGGCTGAGAATCCTGACACCTGTAGGGCAGGTGGAGTGGCAGTGACTCGCCCCCATGCACTCAGTGAGCTTCACGCACTGGCTGTAGATGCTGAAGCGGCTGCAATGACTGAAGAGCAGCTGCGCTCTCATTGCAAAACGGGTCGAAACAATTGCCTAGAAAGGCCTGAAGCATCGCAGCGCCTCCGTGTGTGCTTGCTGTGGGGCGGACCTCCTGCTGTGCCAGTGGAACATCACAAAACAGGCTGTTAACCCAACGTTTGTTATGCTGGCGTCTGCAATTATACATCTGCCAGCAATTACTGGGATCTGGGCTCTAGTATCTGATTTCACCCTATCTCAGGCAATTAAATCTCTGTGTAACAAGGACCGCTGCATCTCTGAGTGCCTGGGTATAGATAATGAATAGATACATTTGCCTGAACATCATCCGTGCAGAGTTGAGGGACCTACTGTGCCCCTTTACACAAAGACAGACAAACAGCCATCTGGAGAGAGAGAGAGATGCACATTACAGAACGGCACTGTGATGTGCAGGTAATGTGGCATTGGTACAGATGTACTTGCAGTCCAGCAGGCAGTGTTCTACACACAAATATATACTCTCTGCATTGTTAAGCTCGTTTTCTTTTCAGCATGGAAGGAAATAGGGCTGTAGCTTGGCGTCAGAACACATGTTCTGTATGCCAAAGGCCCCAGGCTCTATCTGGGAATCCCTTGGCAGTGCTGTGAAAAACTACAGCCTGGAACCCGTAGAGCTGTTGTCAGTCAATATAAACCAGGGATGGGGGTCCTGTGGCCCTCCAGATGTCGAAGGGCTCCAGTTCCTTTCACCTCAAGCCAGCATGGTCAATGGTCAGGATTAATGGGCCTTGCAGTCCAGCAACATTTGGAAGACCACAGGTTCTCCAGCTCCCCTGCCTAGCAAATATCGAGTCCATTTGCACTGAAAATGGATGAGCAATTGGATTTGTTCTTACCTCAGCATTAATTTTCATTGTCTCTTCTGTGTGGTAAAGCAAGCACTTTTGCCCCGAAGACGATACGTTGACGTACACTTGCAAGCAAGGGTACTGAGAGGTTTTCAAGCAGTCCGGACCGCAGCTGAACGAGCAGTTGAAGGTTTCTGTGATGGAGATGTTGAGGAGCGTGCACTGCGTCTCTGCTGTCCAAACACTGGCCAGGAAAGAGGGAAAGAGAATTTGGACAGAGAAAAGGCTTAAAAGGTTGGAATACCGCAAAATTCCGTGGCCAGATTGCTCACCAGAACAAGATGGTTTGAGCATGTAACACCATGGGCAGCCAATTAGTTTCTGGGCTGAATTCAAAGTACTGGTGTTGACCTATTATATATGGCTATACAGTGGTACCTCGGGTTACATACGCTTCAGGTTACATACGCTTGGTTACTAACGAAGAAATAGTGCTTCGGGTTAAGAAATTTGCTTCAGGATAAGAACAGAAATTGGGCTCCGGCGGCGCGGCGGCAGCAGGAGGCCCCATTAACTAAAGTGGTGCTTCAGGTTAAGAACAGTTTCAGGTTAAGCACGGACCTCCAGAACGAATTAAGTACTTAACCCGAGGTACCACTGTACATGCTGACTTCAGCCATTAAATAATCTATGGGGACTCTTATTATGATTATTTTTATTTTTATGCTGTCTATTACTATTGCAACTATTACAGTGGTACCTCGGTTTTCGAATGTAATCCGTTCAGGACCAGCCCAGGACATTTAGTAGGGTTGCCATATTCCCCAAAGTGAATATCAGGACAAAATTGTTGAGTTTTTTTTTTTTTAAGGGGCGGGTGTCCAAAGTTGTTGATGACATTTTGTTGCCTGTTTCCTGGACGTGGTCTGGGAAAACCTGAGGCGAACCACAAAATGGCAATTAGATAAGTAAATAAGGTTCAGAAAAGAGCCACCAAAATGAAGTTTTTCTCCCTCCCTAGATGGCTTGAAAAGAGGATTGGAAAAACTATTGGAGGAGAAGAAGGCTACCAATGGCTTCCAGCTGGAGGCAGCAATGCTTTTGAATGACAGTTGCTGGAAACCACAGAGGGAAAGGGCTCTTGTGCTCAAATCCTGATGGCAGGTTTCCCGCAGGCATCTCGTGGGAACTGTGAGAACAGGATGCTAGACTAGATGGGCCATTATGGGCTTAATCCAGTGGGCTCTTCTTATGTTATTTCATACAATTTTACCAGAATTTTCTCTCTGGGTTTTGTCTGCTTCATTCAACTCTGTCTGCTTATGACAGGTTTCTGCTAAACATTCACAGGTGTTGGGATATCTGTCTGTCTGTCTCTATCTATCTATCTATCTATCTATCTATCTATCTATCTATCTATCTATATCTATCATCTATCTATCATCTATCTATCTATCATCTATCTATCATCTATCTATCTATCTATCTATCTATCATCTATCATCTATCTATCTATCTATCTATCTATCTATCTATCTATCTATCTATCATCTATCTATCTATATCTATATCTATCATCTATCTATCATCTATCATCTATCTATCTATCTATCTATCATCTATCTATCATCTATCTATCATCTATCTATCATCTATATCTATCTATCTATCATCTATCTATCATCTATCTATCTATCTATCTATCTATCTATCTATCATCTATCTATCTATCTATCTATCTATCTATCTATCTATCTATCTATCTATCATCTATCTATCTATCATCTATCTATCATCATCATCTATCTATCATCTATATCTATCTATCATCTATCTATCTATCTATCTATCTATCTATCTATCTATCTATCTATCATCTATCTATCATCTATCTATCTATCTATCTATCTTATCTATCTATCTATCTATCTATCTATCTATCTATCATCTATCTATCATCTGTCTATCTATCTATCTATCTATCTATCTATCATCTATCTATCTATCTCTATCATCTATCTATCATCTATCTATCTATCTATCATCTATCTATCTATCTATCTGATCATCTATCTATCTATCAATCTCTATCATCTATCTATCTATCTATCTATCTATCTATCTATCATCATCTATCTATCTATCTATCTATCTATCTATCTATCATCTATCTATCTATCTATCTATCTATCTATCTATCTATCATCTATCATCTATCTATCTATCTATCTATCTATCTATCTATCTATCTATGCAAGGCATTCGACAAGGTGCCCCATGATATTCTTGTAAAGAAGCTGGTAAAATGCGGTCTTGACTATGCTACCACTCAGTGGATTTGTAACTGGCTGACTGACCGAACCCAAAGGGTGCTTATCAATGGTTCCTCTTCATCCTGGAGAAGAGTGACTAGTGGGGTGCCCACAGGGTTCTGTCTTGGGCCCGGTCTTATTCAACATCTTTATCAACGACTTGGATGATGGACTCAAGGGCATCCTGATCAAATTTGCAGATGACATCCAACTGGGAGGGGTGGCTAACACCCCAGAGGACAGGATCACACTTCAAAACGACCTTGACAGATTAGAGAACTGGGCCAAAACCAACAAGATGAACTTTAACAGGGAGAAATGTAAAGTATTGCACTTGGGCAAAAAAATGAGAGGGCACAAATAAAAGATGGGGGACACCTGGCTGAGAGCAGTACATGTGAAAAGGATCTAGGAGTCTTGGTTGACCACAAACTTGGCATGAGCCAACAGTGTGACGTGGCAGCTAAAAAAGCCAATGCAATTCTGGGCTGCATCAATAGGAGTATAGCATCTAGATCAAGGGAAGTAATAGTGCCACTGTATTCTGCTCTGGTCAGACCTCACCTGGAGTACTGTGTCCAGTTCTGGGCACCACAGTTCAAGAAGGACACTGACAAACTGGAACGTGTCCAGAGGAGGGCAACCAAAATGGTCAAAGGCCTGGAAATGATGCCTTATGAGGAACTGCTAAGGGAGCTGGGCATGTTTAGCCTGGAGAAGAGGAGGTTAAGGGTGATATGATAGCCATGTTCAAATATACAAAAGGATGTCACGTAAGGAGGGAGAAAGGTTGTTTTCTGCTGCTCCAGAGAAGCGGACACGGAGCAATGGATCCAAACTACAAGAAAGAAGATTCCACCTAAACATTAGGAAGAACTTCCTGACAGTAAGAGCTGTTCGACAGTGGAATTTGCTGCCAAGGAGTGTGGTGGAGTCTCCTTCTTTGGAGGTCTTTAAGCAGAGGCTTGACAACCATATGTCAGGAGTGCTCTGATGGTGTTTCCTGCTTGGCAGGGGGTTGGACTCGATGGCCCTTGTGGTCTATTCCAACTCTATGATTCTATGATTCTATGATTCTATGATCTATCTATCTATCCATCTATCATCTATCATCTATCTCTATCTATCATCTATCTATCTATCTATCTATCTATCTATCTATCTATCTATCTATCTCTATCTATCTATCTATCATCTATCTATCTATCTATCATCTATCTATCTATCTATCTATCTATCTATCATCTATCTATCTATCTATCATCATCTATCTATCATCTATCTATCATCTATCTATCTATCTATCTATCTATCTATCTATCTATCTATCTATCATCTATCTATCTATCTAATCTATCTCTTCAACTGGTTTGGCTTTTAAAAACGATCAAACCCTCCAAGTGTCCCTATTTTCCAGCGACAGTCCCGGCTTTACAGAAGCCGTCCCGGGTTTCTGATTTGATCCCAGAACATCCCACTTTTCCTTAGGACCTCCCTATTTTCATGCGAGAAATGTTGGAGGGTATGGCAGGACATCCCTATTTAATCAGAGATATGTCGGAGGCAGTGCTATTTTTCTAGAAAAAGAGTTGCTGGAACTCACCATAACCGCCTCCCTTGTTCTCTTATAATGGTAATGGCGCCCACCTGAGAGGTGACGGAACTGAGTTCCCTTTAGTTTCAGCCGGAAAAAAGCCCTGGTTGGAAGGTATGAACTATTCCTCCTAATGCTTAGGGCCATCTTACCCATAGGCGCTAGGGTGCAGGCGCACTCAGGCGCCGAGATCTCAGGGCGTCAGGCCAAGAGTCCAGAGCCCGCGAGTTGAGTCTGGGGAAGAGCCCGCTTGTCGGTCGGAGAGGCTCTTCTGCTGGCAGGCGGCTCTGCGCTACGAGTTCGGGGGTGACCAAGCCAGTGAGATGCTGAGGTGGCCAGCCGGCTCTGCCCTCCTGCGCGCCTGGGACTGGGCAACCTGGTGTGTGTGTGGGTCTTTGCACCCTGGCCCCGCATATGCTGAAGACAGCCCTGCTAATGCTGATGTAAGTCTCCCTGTGCTCAGGTTTACGTAGCCCAAAACTGCAGGCCATGTTACAAATGACAGCTTCCTTCTCCCTTCTCCCCATAATTTGAGTAATGTTTCCTAAATCATTTCAGGAAAGATCTGTAGAAACTGTTGTGCCTCAGAAACCTTTAGAGAGAAACCTGGCTAGGAAGCCAGGGGTATTTAAATTCCAAAACCACCCTCTTTTCAGGGATCCTTAATTAGACATCCCTGCCAATTACAGTTAAGGTCAAATTATTCCTCCGCAATCACTGGTGATGTTCTTAACCCACATGACACTCCAGACTCCTTCCATGAATATCAAAGCATCATACGGTCTGGAAAGTAGTGGAGTCTGACAAGATCCCAGTGAGGTAGAATGTTTTGTGTCTGTGTGTGGGGGTTGTTTTTGGCTTTAAAAAGGGGTCAGATAAATTCAACGGGATGGCAACATGTCCTAGGACATGCCTCCATCTGAAGGGCTGGGACAGTCTTCCAACTGAAGCCAGCCTCTATTTGAAGGCCTATCTGGTCCAAGTCTGTTTTGAAGATAAAGAACCCCAATAATTTAAGAACCCATCTTGTCCAGCACCCCCATAACACAAGATGCCTATGGGGATCATGCAAGCAGAAGGGCTGCAGGAAAGATGAAGCAGAAAAAACACAGAAGTGATCTCATCCCTAGCAAAATTATTGCAAGGATATGTGGTGAGTGTCTCACTTTGAGCAAAATTATTACATAGATCAGCAGGATTTCCACTTGTGAGGAGGAAGGCATTAGTCTTACACCAGAAGGAAGAAATAACCCCTCAAAGTGCTGCAAAATAGCTTGATCCTTTTTATAAATTAAACTTCCATTTTCCTTCCATTTGAAAGCTTATAGTTTTCTCTAGGCTGCTGATTATTACTGCCGCTCCCTGCTGAATTAGGCCAGGGCTGTGTTTTGCGGTGATAGACGCTCAACGTTTTATGGACTTCAGTGGGACATAGATTAGCCGATAAGGATATTAGTCGAAACCTCATACTGTGAGGGAAAGGCTGCCAAATCTTTTCATTTCTCTGCTGTGCCGCTTAATCCAAGGCTAAACAATGACAAAGGAAGGAGATAAAATATATGAGGCTAAAACCCCCCAGTAGGAACTGAGCACTGTTCTGGTAGCAAGCTCTGCCCATGTCTCCATTGCTGTGAGGGGTGTCCTGTGCCACTTTTTAAATGAAAACACAACCCTATATTGTAAATGAATAGATGGATCCTAAGTGATCCAGGCCAGCTGTAGAGTAGAGTAGGAACTGAAGTGATGCTTCGTTTTGCGTAGGGGGAACACAGTGTAACCGGATACGAAAAGTGCACCCCAGAATGGCAGCCATTTTTCGTCTAGGTTTAGTTGTCCACTATCAATAAATAAAGTGCC